ACCAACCTGGGCAACATAGCAAGACCTTGTCTCTATAAAAAATTTAATAATTAGTAGGGCATGGTGGTGCACACCTGTAGTCCCAGCTACTTGGGAAGCTAAGGTGGGAAGATCACTTGAGCCCATGAGTTCGAGGTTAGAGTAAGCCATGATTGCACCACTGCACTCCAGCCTGAGTGACAAGAGAGACTCCATCTCTTAAAAAAAAGAAATCAATAAATAGAAAACACTAGGTCCTTATAGTTTTTCTGGCGAATATCAGAAAAAGTATATCTATTAAACCAAACCAAACCAAACTGTAATAAATGTGACCCCAAATAGGAATATATTGGAAACAGTCCCTTTAAAATCAAGAAGTCATGACTACTGAAATCAAGAGTTATGTCCGTTATCACACCTTCTATTCAGCATTGCATTGAATGTCTAATAGTTTAAGAAAAAGAAAAGAAATGCATAAAGATTTAAGAGTTGAAAATAAAACTGTCATTATTTGAAAACTGTGTTTGTTTCCACATTTTAAAAAACCCAAAAGTATCTACATAAAATTTATAGAAAACAATAGAATTTAGCAAATGTTTAAATATTAGACCAATACATGCAGTCAATTACAGTTCTTTACCCAAGTAAGAGCTAGAAAATGTAATTAAAATAAGTGAACCATAATTAGCAACAAAAATTATAATGTACTGAGGAATTACCACTAAAGAGGCATAATATTAAAGTAGTAGAAAGAGTTGGGATAAAAGTTTAGATACCTACAATCTAATCCCAGGTAGATAGTTACCATCGATGTGAACTTGAATCTGTCACTTTGTAGTAGGTGTGAAACTTAATTAGATTCTTAATTTTCTCATGTCAAAAATACATATAATAATAAATACCTTGCTGGAACATTATAAGGATTAAATAAATAACATGAGAAAGATAGAGAAATACTGTATCAGGAGGTCTACCATTTCTTTCTTTCTAAATCCCATTTCCTTCTCTTGGGCAAGGTCAGGTACATCTTTGACTTTAGTTTCCTTATCTATAATAATATCAATGCTAATAGCACCCTTGAGAATCTGTGATTCTGAGCCCTTCTGCGTATTTCCTCCTATGTATGTTCTGCTTTAACAAGTTTTGCAAGGATCCTTTATATAAGTAAGCTATTTCTAGGGGTTGGAGAAAGTGTGAACTAAAACTAAAACTATTCTAATTCCACTGTGCTCCTGCATCAGATGTTTGAGAGTTAAGAGGTACACATAATATTTCTTGACACTTTGAGATGATTAGCTGAACCAGTTACTGCTTTGTTCAACAGGTGGATTTTCAGAAAAGGGATATGAATGGAGCTCAGAAGAGGAAGAGCCAGTGAAAAAAGCAGGACCAGTCCAAGTCCTCATTGTCAAAGATGACCATTCCTTTGAGTTAGATGAAACTGCACTAAATCGGATCCTTCTCTCGGAGGCTGTCAGAGACAAGGAGGTGGTTGCTGTATCAGTTGCTGGAGCATTTAGAAAAGGAAAATCATTCCTGATGGACTTCATGTTGAGATATATGTACAACCAGGTATATAAGATATACTTTAAAACGTTTTCTTATTTCTGTGCTTTGGTCACTTAGTGTTTTTATTTAGTGGTGTTTGCCATTTCCATTTCTGTTATTGTGTTCTCTAAATATGAACCAGTTAAATGCTCTGGTGTGACCATTCCAACCTCAGTGCCTTGGGTACCAAACTACACAGGCTACCTTTCTCTGAAGCTACTTGGCTGCATTTTCCTTAGAATATAATTATTTTATTCTTAAAACAGACACTGTTTAATATGATGATTATAAACTTTACATGTTATAGTATTTAAAATGTCAGATAAATTTTGTCATAATTTCTATATTATAATCTCTTTTTTCCAACATTTACTATGACATTTTTCAAGCATGCAGCAAAGTTAAAAAAATTTTATAGTAAATACCTAGGTACCCACTACCTAGATTCTACCATTAACATTAATATTCTTGCCTGCCTTATTACTTGTGTCTCCATCTGTTCATCTCTTATCATTCATCACTCCATCTTATTTTTGATGTATTGCAAGGTAAACTGCTGACATCAGTACACTTTCCTATAAGTATTTTAATATATATCATTATTATGTATATAGATCAGTATTTAGGTTTTTTAGATAAAATTTACATACAACAACATGTACAAACCTTAAATGTACATTTGCTGATTTTTGACAAATGCATATACCTGTGTAGCACCAAACTCTATCAAGATATAGAACATTGCCATTGTATTCTTTGCCAGTCAGTTCTCACCCTCACCCTACCCCTAGAGGCAACGTTTGAACCAACATATGACACAGAAATGAGATTTTAAGCGACTGAAGGTAAATCAAAAGCAGAAGGATAAATGGGAGATTAATGAGGAACAAAAGGTTGGGAATGGAAATATTTTAGTATTTTTCTACCCTTTAGTCCATAGCAATTCTGATGCAAATATGAATGTTAAGACAGAATAGACACACAACCCAAAGAAGTTTGTATTATGTATTTATACTATAATTATTCATTTTAGATTGATCATTTTATACTTGGGGTATTTTTGAACAATTTTATGATGTTAACTTTAACATCTTCTATCTCTAGCCTCAGTTCTAACAAGTCAAGAACAGAACTACCAAAATAATTCAGGCTTTGAAGGCAAACAAAAGTCTTACCGATCCTTATTTCTCACATAGCAACATTAGTATGCTACCTAACACAGGTGGGGAAATTGAATAAACAAAATTAATATACTTTCTACTCTTTGGTATTATACAGTTTTAGGCATATTCATAGTTTTAACTGTTAAAGATAAGAATGAAATACTCAATACTACTTGTCATGTTGCTTGTGATGAGTAGCATTTGCTCAGATTAAAGTGTGCCAGAATTGTCTTTTTTTTCTTTTTCTGTACCTAGTAGAGCATTCAGAAAGCAGGAGAGAACAGGAACACTGTTTTGCTATTTCTTGCATACGGGCATGTATCAATCCTACTTTAATTTCTACATATATAATTATCATTCATATTAGAATGGCTAAATTCAATTCCAAATGTGATGATGTGTGCTCTTCTTAGCAAGAAAACTGTTATTAAGTTTATCCGGTACCTGGCGCATAGTAATCAAAAAGTGATTTTTTGAGAAATAATTTATGAGTGCATACTTGAGCAAATGATACAAGCTAAATTTCAGATCTGACAAAGTAGCTATTTGTGGACATTTTCCTTGCCTTTCAGAATTATTTTTCAGGCTTAGGGTTTTAATAAATATCTCGAGGTAGATCACTGGCCTGGAGTCAATGTTACAATGCTGTTGTTATGCTAATTCATAATCATCACAATTTATTCAGTATGCATCTTGAGATTTTTTCCAGGCAATACCTTATTAGACTAATTTCAATTTCTACATCAGTTAGTATTTATTGACTACCTGCTACATGCCCTGCATTGTGCTAAGCACTATGGTAGATACCAAAGAAGACAGATTTTGCACTTAGACATCTCACAGTTCGACCAAGGAAACAAAATTAAGATACATGGAATATTAATATTTAGAGCATCATTAAATGCTAATCCATGTGTTTCTGAGTATAGTTCAGGGAAGAGACATATCTATATAGGCAGGAGCTATCAGGGAAAGCTTCATAGAAATATTGGACCTTGGGGTAGATTTGTAAGATGTGCAAGATCTGGATCAGGAGAGGGAGGAAGAAGGGGCATTCTATACTATGAGGAATGAGCATGATGTATGCAATAAACAGAGGGTACACCTTCTTCCCTAGAGTGGAGATAAAGAAGAAATAAGATTGAATAGGTGTGTGCCAGATAATGAAACCAATTCATAGAAGAACCAAACTTGAGCTCTTTATAAGGATCTAAAATGCTTTATAGAACAAGATAGATAGGATATAACAAAATAATATTTTCTTTTACAATAGTTTATATATACTTCTTATTAATCTAAGTAGTCTGCTCCCAAATTCCTCTGCATTCATTAATGTGAGGTTTTAGATTTGAGGATTATCTAATAAAGTATTCCAAAAACTAATAACTTATTCTCTCTAACAAATATCAAAATAAGTATAACTACTATTAACCAAGGTCACCAATGACTTACTAAATCTAAGGGATATTTTCCATTCTGTATCTTACTTGATCTTCAGTCTTTATTCTCCCTTCCTTTGGCTGCTAAAATCCATCCATCCTCCCCATTGTCCTGGCCCTGGTTCAGGCCCTCAATTATATTTTGACCTTTATAATAGCTCCCACTTTTCCCTTTCTAGATATCATTTTCCTTCCCTTCTAACTAGCCCTTCCTGCTTCTGAAATAATCTTTCTACTCACAATTGTCATGATAATTCATCTCTGCTTTTTCATAACTCTCCACTGATACAGGATAAAATCTAACTCCCTTAAGCACCTTCCTAATAAGGCCATTCAGAATCTGGCCATCTGCCAGCTTTTCTCTGCTACTTGCTTCCTCCTCACCCCATACCAAAGCATTTGTGTATATCCTGACATAATACGCTCCTTCCTTCATCCCTCCCTTCCTTTCTTCCCAGAATGCCTTCTCCAAATTTGCTCATCTGGAAAATTCTTAATATTCTTCTAGTCTTAGCTCAAACATCAGCTCTCCTATGAAGTCTTACCTGGCCAAGAGTTTTCTATGCTTCCACTTATTCTTTATATACACTTCCATTTTGATATGCATATGTTGCATAATAATGGTTTATTAGCATGTCTATTTCCCTGTTAGGCTATATGAGTTTCCTCTGGTCTGGAATGATATCTTTTCATCTTTGTATCTTCAGAACATAGCATAAAATGTGGTAGATGTTTGCTCCTATGTAATTATTTTTTTGATGCATAATGTGATTATATCAACACAAAAAGATATGGATATATTATTCCTTTTGACTAGAGTTGGAAAGGGATAAAAATCAAAATGGATGAAAGAAAAACCTATAGACATATCTAGTTTCATATCGCAGACTTTATTAACTTATAGGAATCAGTTGATTGGGTTGGAGATTACAACGAACCATTGACTGGTTTTTCATGGAGAGGTGGGTCTGAAAGAGAGACCACAGGAATCCAGATATGGAGTGAAGTCTTCCTTGTCGATAAACCTGATGGTAAAAAGGTATGATGCTAACTTCTCAGGTAAAACTTAGTTTTCACTTGCAACAGTTACCACTTCTCAGGATCCTTGAGAATGCTCTTTTGAAAATTAATTTTGCCCATTTGACGTGAAGCTTAGGATCCTATTGCATGATTCCTGTTTCCCTTTCTTATGATCCAGGTAGGCCAAATTATACAGACAATAGAAGCAGATCAGCAAACTAACATCTGTATTTTATTTCAATGCTGCATAAAGTGTTATGTTGGATTATCAAGGAAAATTTATTATTTCCAATTAGCACCCAGTTAGTATTTTTATTTTTCTGTGGCATTTGTGGCATGTGTAAGAAATTACCTAAAATAGTATTCATTGATAATGGTTTGCTTTAGTTCTTATGATGTTAATGTTGTGGTAACCCTAATACCCTAGAAATACTATGTCAATAATGTGCTTTACTTGCTTATAGGTTGCAGTGTTATTGATGGATACTCAGGGAACCTTTGATAGTCAGTCAACTTTGAGAGATTCGGCCACAGTATTTGCCCTTAGCACAATGATCAGCTCAATACAGGTATGGACTAAAATTAACTCATTTTGGTGGATCTTTCTTTAACTAAAAATATGAGTATATATGTTTCTACATATGTGTGATAGTGAGATAAGCAACAGCAATGGCAAATCATATAAATATACATTATGTGACTCAATTACTGTAGTTCTTGTGATTTATATAAGAGCAGAATTGTTTTTGTTATTGTAGTCTAATTACTGACAAGTTTTCAAAGTGCCTGCTTTAGTCAGAAAAAGATATTTTATGGATATTTTTTCTATTTAAAGCCTACAATAAACTCAATAATATTAAATCTTATATGTGTATACATTGGGGCCACCATTATAAGTTATGTCTAATGAAACAGTATATATGTGTGTATATATATATATATATATAATTTTGTTTTACATGGCCAGTAGAAATGTTTCTAAGTGTAAAAACACTTATGTGTGTTCATAGCTTTTTAAAACATCTTAGTATACATTTAAGAAAGTAAATGCCTTTAAATTTTTTATCTTCCTTTCCTTTCCTTTTTTCTTCCTCTTTTTAAAAGTATTGTTTTTGAGGTTATTGTAGGCTTTTTAAATTGTCCTGATAATCCTTGGAAAATTTTATTAAAACCATAAAACATATGGCATAAAGGGTTTTAAAACTATTTTTAGACATTTTTCAATTCACTGGAGGGAGCAAGGAGAGAGAGTGGCCAAGAAACAGAGCAGATCAATAACAGAAAAGGTGAGGTAGCTTAAAAAGGCAGGAAAGGCAACGTAGTTAGGATGAGTAAGTCAAGGCTGATATTATAAGCAAGTATAGAGGATGGAGCTAGTAAAGAAAGGCAACGTAGTTAGGATGAGTAAGTCAAGGCTGATATTATAAGCAAGTATAGAGGCTGGAGCTAGTAAACTGGCAACAAGGGCATCATATGTGGTTTGGACAAGCAAGAACGGGTAAATAGAAGGAGGAAGGGTAGATTTAATTTGTTTTCCAAAGCAGCAGTCCCCAACCTTTTTGGCACCAGGGACTGGTTTCATAGAAGACAATTTTTCCACAGACCAGGGTGGGATGAGGAAGGAGGGAGGATGGTTTCAGGATGATTCAAGTGCATTACATTTATTGTGCAATCAAACCTCTCTGCTAATGATAACCTGTATTTGCAGCCGCTCCCCAGCGCTAGGTTCACCACCTCAGCTCCACCTTAGATCAGCAGGCCATAGCTAGTGGTAAGGAGCGCCCAACCTAGATCCCTCGCATGCGCAGTTTATGGTAAGGTTCGGCCTCCTATGAGAATCTAATGCGGCTGCTGTCTGACAGGAGGCGGAGCTCAGGAAGCGAGGCGACCAATGGGGAGGGGCCGTTAATACAGATAAAGCTGCGCTTGCTTGCCCTGCCTGCCACCTCCTGCTGTGCCGCCTGGTTCCTAACAGGCCACAGACCAGTACGCGCCCCAGTGTTGGGGACCTGCTATAAAGGACTTTAAAATAAAAGTTGTGGAGAAAAGTTACAGTTATAACGATTGACTAGCTTTTAAAAATCTGCTTTTTAAAAACTTGACAAAAATTATATATATTAATCGTGTTTGACATATTTTGAAATATGTATACATTGAAGAACACCTCAGTCAACCTAATTTACATATGTGTTACCTCACATACATATTTTTGTGGTGTAAAAATCTACGTCTTGAGTGAGTCTTTAAAATACTGACTTAATAGCTAATTTGTTCATAATTGACAGTATAAGCCATTTACACAAGCCAATTAAAACTATATAGACTTTGCCTTTACTATTTACTATTTATATTTGACCTGAATACACTGAATATTTTCATAGAAAAATCTGCTAAGTCCATAGTATTGCCTAATTTTATTATTGTTTTATAAATTTTATTAGTAATTTTTTATAACTATTAAATGACAGAAATAGTCTATTTAAATAAGTACACAAAGTATACTATTTATATCATTACATAAACTTGTAAACATCTTTTTTTTTTTATTGCGGCATATTATGGGGGAACAGATTTTAAGGTTTCAATAAATGCCCTCCCCCCCCACAAGTCTGAGTTTCCAGCTTGACCATCCCCCCTCATCTTTAACTTTTCTTTGAAGTTAATATTTATTCCTTGCAAAAAAAAAAAAAAGAATGTCATCTTAATGCTGTGATCTGTTGATGAGACAATAATGCATATACTTTGGGAGGCCAAGGCAGACAGATTGTTTGAGCTCAGGAGTTCGAGACTAGCCTGTGCAAGAGCGAGACTCTGTCTCTACTAAAAAAAAAATAGAAAGAAATTAGCTGGCCAACTAAAAATATATATAACAAATTAGCCGGGCATGGTGGTGCATGCCTGTAGTCCCAGCTACTCGGGAAGCTGAGGCAGAAGGATTTCTTGAGCCCAGGAGTTTGAAATTGCTGTGAGCTAGGTTGACACCAGGGCACTCTAGCTCAGGCAACAGAGTGAGACTCTGTCTCAAAAAAACAACAACAAAAATAATGTATATGTATAAGGATGTGACATAATATTCAGAACCTAACTTTTATCTGATGAAACTCTTAATAGATATAAGTAAAATAATCAATTGTGAAGAAGTCAACATAATTTTTAAAATAAAATTTTCCATATGGGTTGCTCAGATTTAGATTGCTATTAATTTGGTATGCTTAGAAGAATGATTTTTTTTTTTTTACCAATTGCTAAATCAGGTTCATAAAATAATTTTAATATTCTGTCTCCAGAACAGGTGACTATTGTATTTCTAGAACCATTTTATGATCATTATACATTGTTTATTGTCTCTGAAGCTTCTTTTACTCTTCTTTTAAGGTCTTATAAATATCATTATGTAAACATGTATGTAAGAGAGTTCAATATGAGCGATAAGTGATATTTAGAAAAATATAGAATGACAAAGTAAGTGCTTAGGATGATGCCAATTATCTTCACATTTTGACTTTATTTCTTAATCAAGGTGTATAACTTATCCCAAAATGTCCAGGAGGATGATCTTCAGCACCTTCAGGTAACAATATTTATGTTTTTTGTATACATTATTATCTTTTGAACATGCATAGGAGAACATTGGGGGATGATTTATAAACATTCGAATGGGAGTATTTCCAGGTTTCTTGTTCTGGCCCTGTATGATTATGTTCTAATTCAATTTTCAAATTCCTTTGTTGCTGTAAAACTGCATACTGTCAGTCTTGTATATGTTAACATACATGGCAAATGAGAGTATAGAATCTTTGGTTTAAAAATTACCCAAAATGTGAAGTTGAAATCTTAAGGTCAGGGATTTGATAATTGTTAGTATTATATCTAATATATGCAATATTTTTTCCCGTGGACCACTTTGTAGACAAGAACTGTGAGGGTTGACTTGATGATAACTAATAGAATTCTATTTCAGATCTGAAATAGACCTCAGTGATACATAATTTATTCTTTACATTTTATAAATAAGGAAAATGAGGCCAAAAGAAGTAAATTACTTGTTGAAACTTATATGGCTAATTAGTGGTAGAGTGAGAATAAAAACCTGGCCATCTGACTGGGCTCCTTCCACTCTCCAAGCAGCGTATAATCCCAAAGAAGGAAAAAGTTAGATGTTTCCTAAAGATGGTTCACATCTCTGTAACACTCTCTGGTTTTTTTCAATTCATGTTATTCTTGGTTATGTAGCAAAACCTATTATTTCTCTGATAGTTTTCCTTCTGCATATTTTATAGAAAAATTTGCTTTCAATATGTTATGTTATCAAAAAAATATGTTATCTTGGCAATCAGAGCCATGTAGCAAAATGTGCAAATTTAACAATAACAAAGGATGAAAAAACAGGGTAATCTAAGACATTGGAAATATCATTTGGAATTCACATCCAGTATGCTACCAAATATGTTTTTAGTACTTCACATCAACTATCTATTATAACAGAGGGAAGGGCCTGAAGAAAAAAAAATATATATTTTCTGTCTCTTTAAAACTTTCCCCACTCTTTTTGGGAACTGCAGCCTGGCCTGCATCCCTGAGGTAGGTTAAGTCCTTTGTTAAAAGAGGTAACTCAATTATCCCAGGCAGTGCCAGCCCCTCTAGGTGGGTGGCTCTAGGAGGTCACAGTCTTTGTCTTTGGCAGAGATGGCACAATTAGAGTTAACCACAATAGCCTAGAACTGAGGGGCCCTCCCTTTAAAAGCTCTGTATTTCTGTTTATGTTCAGGAAATTTGGATTTTGAAATGAGAAGGTCTACCATTTTTCCTCCTTTGCTGGCAAAGTAAAAACTTCTCTTTCCTCCTCCTCAAACCACTTGTTCGCATTCTGATGTGGCCTCCAAGACAAGTGCCAAGTTTTCAGTAACACTATGACAAATAAGCAATATGCTGAATAATTGTTAGATGTTTTTCACAATAAGAACAATTACTTCTTTGGGCATGTGTCATAACTTAGCCAACTACT